ATTATAGTGGGGTATTTTCACAAATGACTTCTAGAGTTGTCAAGACTTACTAAAGGAATTCTGAGAAATACAGGTTAGAAATCCAAACGTGTATTTATAATGCTAGATTATCCTCCCCAAGTTAAATAAAGAAGACTTACTTACCTTTTAGCCCACACCATGTCAGTCCAGCTGCTCTGCCTCATCTGAGCTCATCAGTGGTCAAACTCAGCCTTCCCCCTAGAGAAGCATTGGAGGGCTACTGTGTATGCACACGCACAAATGAGACCATAGACAGTGCCATCCATACACACAAACCCACAACATATTGCTCCCCACAAAAACAACCCTAAAGCAGCCTCCCTCAACATATGCAACTACCACAAGCATTGACCCCAAAAACAAGCAACACACCAAAGAAGCCCAACACGCACAACTCCACAAGCAGCGTCACCACAAGCAGCCTCTCCAACACATGCACACAAACTCTCTCTGCCATGTTCTATTTGAGGCATATTATGCCTCCATCACGCAGAGCGTCCATAGAGAAATGCTTTCCTGAATGCGCGCAGACGGTGGAGCTGACGTCGGCGGGGGAGGAGAGGCAAGGAGCCCGGCGGTGGAATAAGGTGAGTAACCGAAGGGTTTTTAACCCCTTCAGCACCACGGGAGGGGGACCCTGAGGATGGGGGCACCCTCAGAGTACTAGAGTGTCAGGAAAACCGATTTATTTTGCTGACACTATAGTGATCCTTTAAACATTGTATTATTATGTTTCCATAAAACACCAAATGAAAATTACTTTTTGGAAAACATTTTTCTAAGAGATCTGTAAGAACTCTGCAAATTGCATGGATGACCTCCATTAAAGCCACACAGTCTTTCTCAGAGCGCAAATAAGGGCTTAATTACCTATTTGTGGTAACTTGCCAGAATATTATTTATCCAGACACTAATATTGTGTAATATTCTAATATTCAGGACTCTCTGTACTTTCCTCTTCATAACTGCAACTGTCCAGTAATCATGTTATGTTATGCCTAACACGACAGTCACATTCAGTCTGCTAATAATTCTATATATTGTTATATAAAATTGTGCGTGTGTGTGTATATATATATATATATATATATATATATAAACTAGAGATTTGAGGGCACTCACTTGCTCCTAGTTGCATGTAAAGCAATTATGTATATATATATAGTTTTAACACAGAAACATATCCTGCAGCAGTTGTCTCACTTCAGGCCTTGTATCCTTGGGCTTCTGAAAACCAGTGGAATTATAGATTATTGTTTGCCGTGGTGTGTGTTATATTAGCATTGACAACATTCAAAGGGATTCTATTGTCACCAGAACAGCTACAGCTTAATGGTGTCTACAGCCTGTCCTTGCTCGCTTTTTAATAAAAAATGCCTTTTCAGAAAAAACATTAGCACTTAGGGCAGGTGTAGGAAACCTTTGGCACTCCAGATGTTGTGGACTACATCTCCCACAATGCTTTTAAAAAAACATCTGGAGTGTCAAAGGTTGCCTATCCCTGACCTAGGGGCACCTCTATTAGTAGTCACTCAGACAGCCACTAGAGGTACTTCCTGGGTCAGTGCAGCACTAGTATTCAGCATCGCCACGCTCTGCAATGGAGACACTGAAGAGATGTATTGATTCAATGCAACTTTTTGAAGAGATGCTGATTGGCACAGCGTTTTGCAATACTTGTGTGATAGACATCCAATGCTTGCTTTCCTATGGGATAAAGTTTGATGATCTCACCAAAGGGCAGAGCGAGTAAGGAGCCAAGCTTGAAAAGACCCACACAGCGCTGGAAAAAGGTGAGTACAATAACCTTTTTAACCTGGGACAAGAGGGATCAGTCACCTAAATAGCTATTTAGACCTATCGTGTCAGGAAAACATATTTGTATTCCTGACACTGCAATGTTCCTTGAACCCCTTAAGGACACATGACATGTGTGACATGTTATGATTCCCTTTTATTCCAGAAGTTTGGTCCTTAAGGGGTTAAGCATTGCCTTGGTTGCAAAGGAGGATCTATTGAAGAATGGATTACCAGAGCAGTTTCCCCCAGAGCTACTAGGCAGCTCAATGCACCTAGGTCTGGAAGGGGTGTTGTTGGTAGCAAAATTCCACTTTACAGCTTAAAGGGACATTCCAGTGCCATGAAAACAAATCGTTTTCCTGGCACTGCAGGTGCCCTCTCCCTCCCACCCCCCATCCCATGTTGCTGAAGGGGTGAAAACCTGAGTGACTTACCTGAGACCCCCGCCGGTGTCACTCGGCGGTGGTTTCGGGTCTGCCCACGCTCCTCCCCCGCTGAAGTCATCTGGCAGGGGAGACCAATCCTGCATGCGCGGCCGTCGGCGGGGGAGACCTAATACGCATGCGTGGCAATCAATGCTTTCCTATGGGGAATTGAGTGACGCTGGGGGTCCTCACATAGCGTGAGGATGTCCAGCGACACTCTAGCACAGAAATCCTGTGCTAGAAACCAGGAAGTGCCCTCTAGTGGTTTTAATGCAATTTGCGGAGTTCTTACAGATCTCTTAGAAAAATGTCGAGTAGACAGCCACTAGAGGAGGAGTTAACCCAGCAATGTAATTATTGCAGTTTATGAAAACTGCAATAATTACAGCTGCAGGATTAAGGGTAGTGTGACTTGGCACCCAGATGGGCAGAAGTGGTCCAGGTGCCTGGAGTGTCCCTTTAATTATTGATGGTATAGTGGAATTTTAAGTTTTTTCCAGCTCACATGGCAGTAGCTCTGGATTCTGGGCATGACCATGAGTCAACATGGGATATCACTGTTATAACCCCACCAACATCCTTCAGTACCAACCGCACTAACATCAGGGTCCTGCACTCACCCCTCAACTGCATTCAATGTGGCTTCCTTCCTTTCTTGGGGTACAGCTGAACAATGAGTATTCAGTATGTTTATTGCACATCATGTATGCTGTGTTTATTGCAAAATAGTACATCTTAGATGTTCTGTACTCAGTGGTGTATTTTGGATCTGTGCTGCCCTAGGCATGATGGAACTTGGGCACCCACTAATTTAATTTTGCCTCAGCCCTTCTGGTCAAGGCTACACCTCTTCCTGGCAAAGACTAACACACACTTTTACTGACAGACACACACTCTCAGGTACACTGACATACACACACAATCACTGATTTGACACAATCTGACAGACACAAACACACACTGACAGACACACACAATCACTGACCGATCTGCAAACACTCATTGACAGGCACACACACACCCATTCACAGACACACACACACTGGCAGGGATGCACAATCACTCAGACACACACACATTCACTGACAGACACACACACTCACTCACTCACTCATTTACAGACACACACTGACAGATATATACACAGACTCACTGACAAACACACACACTGACAGACATACACACACACACGCAAAAAATACCACCCCTAAATGCCCAGGCAAATACCTTGTTAGCCTCGGGGCAGGTGGCTAGCTGAGCTCCAGGCGGGTGGCTGATTTGTGAGCTCTCCCTGCTCAGCTCACACACCGCAGAGTGATGTTGGGAGCCGGAATATAAGCTGAGCAGGCAGAGCTCACAAATCAGCACTCCCTCGCCACCTGCCTGGAGCTCAGCTAGCCACCTGCCCGGAGGCTAACAAAGGGCGGCAAGTTCTGTCCAAGGCAAATGCCTTGTTTGCCTTGCGGAAAATACAGCACTGCCTGTATTAAGAACTTTCAGACAATTCAGTATTATTTATTAGACTTATTTAAAGGAACACTATAGGGTCAGGAACCCAAACATGTATTCCTGACCTTATAGTGCTAAACCCACCATTTAGGTAGCTTGCCCCAGGTGGCTTGCTGACATCATCAGAATTGCAGGTTTTTTTGTCACTCCAGTGCTTTCTCATGCGGAATGCATTGGATTGGCGAAAATCGGCAAGGGGGTGTGGCCAAACACTGTTTTGGCCAATCAGCACCTCCATATAAAGATGCATTGAGTGTGTGCCTTACCAGAACAACTACATTAAGCTATAGTTGTTTTGGTGACTATAGTGTCCCTTTAATATTTAGTGTTTCAAAGTAGGAATAAAGACTGCATATACATATATGTAGAGGCAGTATGCCTGAAGTTGTGGGAGTGGGTTTTGCCGGTCTAAATCTACTCCCCTCCCTGCTACTTTCTGACATTCTGCTGATGTTTTGAACCTGGTGGCCTACGTTTGGCCACACTACATAGTCATATTTGTTTAGTACATTCGGCCTTTAGCACGTTCAGCCACACTACATATTCACTGTGGTTCCATACATTTGGTCTACGTTCAGCCATGCTACATATTCAATACATTTGGAATAAGTTTCATCTACGCTACATAGTCAATTTTGTTTAGTACGTTTGGCCTTCGTTTGGCCGTGCTCCAGTTTACTTTGGTCAGTACATTTGCCCTACGTTCGGCCACGCTACATTTTTTATTTGGTTTAGTACATTTGGGCTATGTTCAGCAATTCTACATATTTTCTTTGATTCAGTACATTTGACCTATGGCCAGCCACATTACATAGTCACTTTGGTTTAGTACCTTCAGTCATGATTTGGGCGGGCTACATATTCACTTTGGTTCAGTGCATTCGGCCTACTTGTGGCAATGCTACATTTTCACTTTGGTACTGTACATATGGCCTATGTTCATCATACTATAATGTTGTTGTGGTTCAGTACATTCGACCTACATTTGGCCACGCTACATTTTGCATTTTTGTTCATTACATTTGACATATGTTTGGCCACAAGTTCATTACTTTATTTTGAGCCTCCATCGGCCACACTTTATTGTCATTAGGCATTTATATATTATTTGTTATATCATCATTTAGATTCCAGGTAGTTTACCCATTTTAATATACTACACTGCATCCCTAAGTGTAATTTACATTAAGTGTTCTACTTGTGTTTTTACAAATATTTCTATTGTTCATTAATTGTTAATTGTCAGTGTAACGGATCGCCTGGCACCCCGACTGGGTACCTCCGTTGAAGGATGCTCCTAGCACTTCCTGAGGACTCCAAGCACTGCAGCAGACACCACAATCACCGAACCAGAGAAGCGTATACCTTCTCTCAAGCATATGAATGCTGTAGACAGTTGAATAGGAACCATACGAATAGGTTTACTCTCCTAGCAGTCAAACTGGAACAGCATACAATGAATCCTTCCCCCAATAATGAGACGACACTTCACTTTGAGGGTTAAAACAGGAACTCTCTGTACTGTCACATACAGTCTCTTTTATTCCCAATCCACAAACATAGTACAGCCCACAGGGCGTTACAAAACCACCAATCACATCACAGTTACATCCCACATATTCCCTCCCCTTATCCTGAGAGGAAACTCAATTATACATACAGTTAAAACATACTTTCTACCCAACTTTCATAACTCCAAAACCATACATCACATTCACATAAAATTACATATTCACAATCAATCCATTCAGGGGAACAACATATTCAAAAATGGCACAAATCAGACAAGGGGTTCAAAAGTTAGTAAAAAGTCCTTTGTGACTAAATGAAGCATGGCTTTCTGGCCCAAACCAGTTTCAGAGTCTTCTATCCTGGAGAGTAATTCAATTATCTCCCAGGACAGACACAAGACTCCATTAAGCACATGGTTGCAAAAAGACACAAAACACTTTAAAATACATAAAGTCACATTTACACATAACACACAGACATTTCACATATCCCCAGATAGCTGGGATCTGAGTGCACATTATTAGATGAATGGCACTCAGATCACACAAATAAGCCTTTCTGCAGGGGAAATAAACAGTTTAACCTGCAGGGCCATAGTCCAAAGGGAGCAGGCGAGCAACCAGGCTTCTCCAGTTCACAGTGGCGAGGTTGGTTTCGCCACACTTCTCCCCTTTACCAACTAGACTAACAGGGTATCTGACCTCCTGCCGGTCAGTGCCCTGGTTAGTCCAGCAACCCACCCACAAAACAGAAACAGCAGTACAGCCCACCCACAATAACTGGTTACTACACCTGGGTAGAGGAAAACTTTGTCCATGTCCAGGTGCCTCACCACGACTGTGTGGGCAACTGTTAGGCTGCCTTGGTGGGTTGCTGAGTGGGCAGAGACCAGCGGTACTCTGCCCTGATGCCAGTGCTACCACGGAAGTAGCCTGGTGGGAGCCTGGTTGTGGGAGGGAGAGACCGACTGTCTCCCCTCTGGATACACCGCTCTGTGGCTGGGGAACAGGACCGACTGTCCCTACCCCTTGTGCTGTAAGTGCAGAGACTACAGTCCCATCTGCACTGTTGGGGGTGTAACATCTCCCCTTGCTGGGTTAGGCTGCCGCTGGGGAGAGGGTGTAACAAGCTCCTCTCTCTGAACTGTAAACTGCCGCTGGGGAGAAGGGGTATCAGGCTCCTCTCCCTGACACTCTCTCTGCTGGTGGAGAGGGGGACCAGCTGTCTCCCCTTTCATTATTTTGTCCTGTGGTTGGGGTGCGAGACTGACGGTCTCTGCTCCCTGCAGGACACTGTGCCGCTGGGGAGGAAGGACGGCACCTTCAGCTCCCTGGGGTACACACTGCCACTGGGAAGGAAGGACTGCACCTTCAGCTCCCTGGGGTACACACTGCCGCTGGGGAGGAAGGACTGCACCTTCAGCTCCCTGGGGTGCACACTGCCGCTGGGGAGGAAGGACTGCACCTTCAGCTCCCTGGGGTACATACTGCCGCTGGAGATCTGGGCCGACCGCCCAGCATCCCTGTAGGGCCGGTTGAGAGACCGCCGTCCCATCTCCACCTGCCATCTGTGGGTCTTCCCAGGACCAGTCTGTGAGGTCCCTCAACATTTGCGAGTAAGGACCACCTGCTTCCGCACCTGGCAACTCCGGCTGCTGCTGGGGATCTGGGCCGGTCCCATCTCCACATGCCTGTTGTGGTTCCTCACAGGACCAGTCTATGAGGACCCCTACTTCGGGTTCCTGCGGCCGCCTCAGGGGGAGACGGCTAGCCTCCTCGGATGCAGCCTCTACTCGGCTGCTGTAACACTCCTTCCGCTGAGCATACTCTCTCTCTTTCGCCAGCCGGAATTCTCGGGCCAGCCTTGTGTTTCGCTCGGCCGTGACCTGGTTCCAGATCACCCGGCGTACCTCCATGGGTAAATCATCCCCATACTGGGCCACTCGCTGCCTCACCTCGGCCATCCAATCATCGCCAGAGCCTTCCATACTTGTCTGCTCCAAGTCGCTGGATACCTCTGCTCCCAGGGTCGCTGCACGTGTGCTAGCGTTGCCCTCAATTTGTAAATCCAAACGAACTGTGTCTCTGAGCTGCTTTACTTCGCACTAGGACGCCATCCCACCGCTTGCCACCAATGTAACGGATCGCCTGGCACCCCGACTGGGTACCTCCGTTAAAGGATGCTCCTAGCGCTTCCTGAGGACTCCAAGCACTGCAGCAGACACCACAACCACCGAACCGGAGAAGCATATGAATCCTCTCAAGCATATGAATGCTGTAGACAGTTGAATAGGAACCATACGAATAGGTTTACTCTCCTAGCAGTCAAACTGGAACAGCATACAATAAATCCTTCCCCAATAATGAGACGACACTTCACTTTGAGGGTTAAGCAGGAACTCCTGTACTGTCACATACAGTCTCTTTTATTCCCAATCCACAAACATAGTACAGCCCACAGGGCGTTACAAAACAACCAATCACATCACAGTTACATCCCACATATTCCCTCCCCTTATCCTGAGAGGAAACTCAATTATACATACAGTTAAAACATACTTTCTACCCAACTTTCATAACTCTAAAACCATACATCACATTCACATAAAATTACATATTCACAATCAATCCATTCAAGGGAACAACATATTAAAAAATGGCATGAATCAGACCAGGGGTTCAAAAGTTAGTAAAAAGTCCTTTGTGACTAAATGAAGCATGGCTTTCTGGCCCAAACCAGTTTCAGAGTCTTCTATCCTGGAGAGTAATTTAATTATCTCCCAGGATAGACACAAGACTCCATTAAGCACATGGTTGCAAAAAGACACAAAACACTTTAAACTACATAAAGTCACATTTACACATAACACACAGACATTTCACATATCCCCAGATAGCTGGGATCTGAGTGCACATTATTAGATGAATGGCACTCAGATCACACAAATAAGCTTTTCTGCAGGGGAAATAAACAGTTTAACCTGCAGGGCCATAGTCCAAAGGGAGCAGGCGAGCAACCAGGCTTCTCCAGTTCACAGTGGCGAGGTTGGTTTCGCCACACTCACTGAGCAGGCCCTCAATCCCTCTGTTACTGTGTCACTATACCCCACTCCCTCTAACATGTAAACTCACTAAGCAGGCCCTCAATCCCTCTGTTACTGTGTCACTATACCCCACTCCCTCTAACATGTAAACTCACTAAGCAGGGCCCTCTGTTACTTTGTGTCCAACTTGTCTGGTTATAAATACGTGTCTGTTAGTCCACCCATTGTACAGCACTATGGAATTTGGCGCTTTATAAATAATAATAATAAAAATAATAATAATGTTATGCAGATATATTTTATATAGGGCACTTCTAATGTCCTTTGTTTAAAATATATCTTTTATGTCTATTATGTGTAATTTCCTAATTTGAACTGAGCGATACTAAATACATATAGGGACTTTAGTTTTTATACTTCAAGGTTTTGTTTCTCTTTGGAGTGATGTAACCAGCATAAAATGTGAGTGTCAACGCCAGCCTAACCCAGAACGCAATCCTATGTGAAGTTAGAACAGGAGAGAAGGATGGCATTGTATAACGTTCCATAGGCCGGCTTAACGCAGAGTCCAGATTAGTGAAACAGTGAATGATAACAGGCCAAGGTCCTAAAGTATATTAAGACACTATAATGAGAGACACGCTGGGGTCAGGATTAGAGAGATCAGGAAAATAACAAGCCAAGTTAAAACCAGGAAATACAATAAGTAAGAACTTGCTCTTAGGCACGCAAGCACCACGACAGGGCAAGGAGTTGGTGTAAACCCAAGGGCTTTATACCAGTCAATAAAAGGCTGTTGATCAACGTTACAAATGAAATGCCACAATGTCCAAGACAGAATATCCTGGTTATAAGACATGACCAGAATTAAGCGGCCCACATCAGAAGGAACGTCCAAATCACGTACTGTGTCAATAAGCAGAGCAGAATGGTGCAGAGACAGAGCATGCTCCACAGATACCGTGATAGTGCATGAATGAAGAGGTGTATTTGTTTGAATTGGCAGAGTGTGTAAATGCAGGGTTGTGTTGACTGTTTGTGGTTGTGTAGAGTATCAGTGTATGAAGTGGATATATTGTGTGTGAGAATATAGGGGTGTATGGTTAAAATGATGGAGCCTGTTTGTAGGGAATCTGTAACCTGGATGCAGATATTTAACACTCTATTATACCATAAATTAAACACTGCCAGTAATATAAACTAATTATTTTGGTTTCCACCGACATGCCCCTGGCAAGCACAGGTGGGCTAATAAATTCATGGCATGAGCAGAATGTTATTATGGGAAGTTATGGTCAGAGATGGTTTGCCTTCTCTTTTTAGAGAAATAAAAATAGATTTCCATTCCGTCAAACAGAGCTTCCTGTACAGGTTTCATTTCTTGCAGGTGTCTGCGATTTCCAGCAGCTCACATTGACCGCCATGGAAAATTCTTTGATGTACGCACAGGTGAAATGTACCAATAAAACAATGGAAAATGCCAAGTCTGTACAAACACTGCAACCAGGTGAGATAATTTATATCATTATATTCCATTAATGTCACGCAGTCGAAATAATAAAATAAAATGAGAGAGCAGTAATGGCCCTGCCTAAACTAGTTCATGTCTATTAAGTCCTTACCATGTGTAGTATGAATCCTAGCTAGTCCTTACCCTGTCTAGTTTAACTCTAAAGTAGTCCCTACCATGTCTATTATAACTCTTAGCTAGTTCTTATTATGTCTCGAATAACTCTTAGCTAGTCCTTATTACGTCTCGTATATCTATTAGCTAGTCCTTATTACGTCTCGTATAACTCTTAGTTAGTCCTTATTACGTCTCGTATAACTCTTAGCTAGTCCTTATTACGTCTCGTATAACTCTTAGCTAGTCCTTATTACGTCTCGTATAACTCTTAGCTGGTCCTTATTAC